ATTGTCCTCAAAATGACCTATAGATGCAATGCAATTCTGGCTTTTTGGCAGAAATGAACAAGCTGATCCTAAAACTAATATGGAAATGCAAGATACCCAGAATGGTCAAAACAATCTTGAAAAAGAACAAAATTTTGAAGTTTCCAAATTCAAAACTCACTAACAATACTGTAATCCATACAGTGTGGTACATGCATAAATGACAGACAAATAGATTGAGAGAAAAGAATTGAGAGTCCATAAACAAACTCTTACATGTAGCCATTTAATTTTTGACAAAGGTGCTGTGACAATCCAATGGGGAAAAATTAATCTTTACAAAAATGATGCTGGGACGCCTGCAGAAACACCTGGAAAGATAGAAAACTGAACTTTTATCTTAACACCATTTATGAAAGTTAACTGAAAATAAATCACAGACCTGAAACTATAAAACTTTTAGAAAATGAACAATGAGAAATTCTTCATGACTTTGGATTACAAATACTTGTAATAAATGACACCAAAAGCACAAACAACAAAAGAAGAAAAATCAAGTAAACTGGACTTCAGTAAAATTAAAAACTTCTGTGCTTCAAAGGACTTCATTAAGAAAGTAAGAAGACAATCCACAGGATGGATGAAATTATTTCCAATATTTTCCCTGATAAGGGACTTTTATCCAGAAAAGACAAAAAGGACTTAAAACGTGACACTGCAGACAAATACAATTAAAATTGGCAAAGAATTTGAATAGATGTTTCTCCAAAGAAGACATACGAATGGGAAATAAGCACATAAAAAGATGTGCAACATCAGTAGGCATTAGGGAAACAGAAATCAAAAGCACAATGACATACCAATTCATACCAACTAGGATGACAAATATATATGATATATGATATATAAATACGTATCTATAAACCTGGTAATAAAAAGTGTTGAGGATGTGCAGAAACTTGATTCCTCATACATTACTACTGGAAATATAAAATGGTGCAGTCACTTTAAAAACTACTTCAGCAATTCCTCAAAATGTTAAAAGTAGAATGCATCCCAGCAATTCCATTTTTTGATATATCCTCAAGAAAACTGAATATATGTGTTCACACAAAAACTTGTCCATGAGCATTTACAGCAGAATTATTCATCATCAGCTGACGGATGGATAAGCAATGTGGAGTATTTATAACAATGGCATATTACTTGAACACAAAAAGGAATTTGGGTATTGATATATGCTACACCATGGATGAGCCTAGACAACGTCACACTAAATGAAAGACGACAATCAAAAAAGGCAGCATACTGTATGGTTCTAATTTTATGAAATGCCCAGAATAGGCAAATCCGTAGAGGCAGAAAGTAGAGTGGTGGCTGCTGGGGCCTAAGGGAAAGGAAGGTTAGGGACTGACTTACTAAAGGGTACTGGTTCCTTTTGGTGGTGATGGCTACAAAGCCCTGAAATTTACTTAAAACCCTAATGCACACTTTCAAAGGCTGCATTTTATGGTATTGAATTATATCTCCATAAAGCTGTTATTCTTGAAGCTGAGCCCACCTATGGAGCAAATGGCACAGCACTGACTGCGGCATCCAGAAGGGAAGTAACCCACCTG